GAAGAAGGAAGTGGGTAGTTTTTGGTAGAATTGTCTGTTTCAGTGTGACATTTCTCGTGAGATAAGGAAAAAGTTTTGTATGACAGCGTTATTTTGCGTAATGCCATTTTGTTATGCAAGCGTAAGGTGTAGACGCTTCTAAATGCGAGTAGTATGTTTGGATGCGGTAAAAGTATTCCTTGAAAACCACTTAGATAGACGCTTCAGCTAAGAAAGTTGTTATCGACAAATGTTTGATTTTTTTCAGTCTTAGGGCACTATAACGTTCCGAATTACTCGGCCCATGTTATCTGGTTCTTCAAAAAATAAACGGTTACGTACAAAAGCATCTGTTTTACTGCTTGTATAAAAGTGTTTCATGCTTTATTAGTTAAAAATGAGAGAATCTAGACAGTGACGTAAAAAACACTTTATATTGGGAGACATGCGTAAAAGTTACTGATGTTATAGCGACAACACTTGTATATACATTATTAACAGACATTTAGTGAACACCGTCATAAATTCTTGAGAAGATGTAATTACAGAAAAAACGGGTTGCCATTGGTCCATGGAAATAATCCACAGTTATCTCTGGCGAAGAGAATCGGAAATGAAAAGCCGTTAAAATTTCGTGACCTTACAACATGCACAAAGTACCCGATAAGAGATGTTTTACGTTTTGGAAAATTTAAAAACAGCAGGCTGGTTAAAAGGTTCAAATCAAAATACGGTGCAGAAGTTAGGAGTGTTACGTCAAGTGGCCGTATAATTTGCAACAGGTTAATGCCACCAAAAACAAAAGGATGGTGTTGGATGCGGACTTATATGCGGCATTACACAAGTCCCATTCACAACAGTTGTACGTGACAGTAACATTCTGAGATTCCTGAACAGTCTGTTGACCGGGAGCCTAGAAATTAAAAAAGTTAAAAGCAAATTAATTACAGTCATTAAGTGACGACTAAAGAAGCTACAACTTACCTTACAATTCAGTTCTGCATCGCAAAATTTTCCATCTACGTCGTCTAAAATGGTGAATTTTTGGAACTAGCATTTATGGTCAAAAGCGTCTTACTTTTCAAATTAATCTTCAGAATTAACAGATGGTCCTGCTATATTTCTGTATTCAAGTGTTTGGAAATTTGATATAGGTTTAATTCAATGAACAGCTCTGCCTATTACACAGTTTTTTTTTGCTATCCTCAATTAGTCTGTAAGAGCAAATGAAGCTAAACCGTAGAAGCCGACGAAGGGAGTGTGCACATTCATTATTGTGTATTGGTATAACTCTTAGTTTTTAAATCAACTCCAAAAGCTTTTCACCGTGATTGCTATTCACGTCGTAGTTTGAAGGAGGAAAAAATTTTATCAATAGCCATTCGAAATTTCAGATCTTTGGAGTAAAACAGAGCTTCTTCCCCGTTATTAAAACGTGGTTTTTCTCTGATAGTAAAATGGATGCATACCTTCGCTCCTGGCAACTGACACACAGTACTTTACCTCTTCCTTACATAATACATCCACATCACCAACATACAGAAGATTACTATAAAAGTTCTGGTAGCAGTGTATTTTCGCAAGTATATTTGGTAAAGTCAGCAACAACAGTAGCAGCGTTGGTATCATGACCTGTATTTCAGAGTGAACTGCATAAATCGTTTCGAATCAAGAACGCTAAAAATAAAACCACAGTAATTGTTGCAAAGCAAAAGAGTACAATTTCGAGTAGAAAAATTTAGTTTCTTCAGTCGATTGCCAATGTTTACTACATAAGGATTTTGAAAAAGTGCTAAAAGTTGGAGACTTTCGCCGAAACTCCTGTTCATTGAGTACTTGAAAAACAGAAAACAAGCCTTTAATTTCTAATTCTGTGCTTTTGACGAAAAGAAGCCAATAATGACAAGCTGTGCTATCATAAAAACAACACTATAAATGTTATCATTATTGAAATTACTTTTTCTTTTGTTCACTCTCACTTTATATCTTTCTAACAAATATATCAAACCCAAAAAAACTTATTATTTGAAGTAATCGTGTACATGCTCGAGTTTCAAACAAAATCGTTTCTAAAATATTTACACAATTCTTCAGTGAATGGATTACGTACTGTTACAGTGTTAATTCCATAATTACTCCAACTTCCGCAATCCAAAGTAACACTTTAATCAACCTTTTCTTTACCTCATGATAGAAACCTCTTCACTGTCATTTGAAAACTACCGGTTACTCATTGCACCTAACATACTTCATATGACTGTAGTAAATATAAATTAAGTTATAGCGCTTAAGATAGAAACCATTGTCAATTCCAAAAGTCGCTGAAGTTCAGGTGTTACAGATGCCAAAAAAGTATAGGCTTTTGCAGACAGTGAGCTTTGTTTCTGGTTCCTTTTCCTCTAATTTTTAGAGTCCCCACCTTGTTCCAAAAATTGTTTTTCAAAGTATAATGAAAAAATTTCTCCTTGAAGTTTAACGAGCAGCATGATTAAAGCGCACCCGACAACCGTAACTCAACAAAACACGTTGCGTTTAAGGCCTGTATAAGGAGAAGCTAACTGCATATAATTTGTATTTGAATATCTGATTCTGCAACTGCTAACACTTTATAAGTCCGATTTTGTAAGTGGAATAAACAATTAAAAATTCATCATCTTTAATGTTAACGCTCAAGCCGTTATGTCATGGCGGAAGAAAACTGTAAATTAAGCAGCACTGCAAAGAACGCTGAGCTGCCTTTTCAAGCTCTGCAAGAACCTAAGATCGTTCTAGAAGGCGGTCACCATGACAAAAACCACACCAATAGCTATTTGACTATTGAGGGTACTGCAGAGGACCAGCCATTTTTCAGATATTTGCTAGTACAGTAGTGTTAAGGTCGGTTTTTGAATCTTGGTCCTTCAGCTAATCGTACGCAAAGAGTATGAGCACTGTGACCGCAGACAATGTGGTTGAGCTGTGGTTATTTGGACTAAGAGCGGAGATAAAAAATGCTTGAACAACTTTAAGAACCTACTAAGACCTCACCTAACCTGGTTCCAATATGTCCATATCCTACAACAGCATTGAAGATCAGTTAAAAAAGTACCACTTGATTGTGCATATAACTGTTGAAGGTGCAGCAGATCACCACAGTCGAACTTCCTTGATGAACCGAAGTAGAAATATGTAGCAAAAAATAACAAGATCTAAACTTATAGTCAAAAATAAAGTAACCATGCACTTACTCTCAACCACTCCTAGACTAGCCTAAAACGCTTAAATTCAAATAAAAAATTTCTACCAGAAGACCCACAAAAGCCTCCAAATTTGAGAACTGTTGCGGAATAAAAATCTAGAATACAAGTTTCGACACTTTTTATGCTGCTAAATACTCAGCGATATGCTTATACAAAGGAAGCGTAAGTTGCACTTTCACAAAACAAGATGACAAAACCATCCAAACAAAAAACTTGCAGATAGAAAAATCACACCAAACAAGAAAATTTAAAACGAAGAGGACTGTATACCGCCTTCAAACCTCAAAAAGCGAGAAAATCCAACAAAAACTACAATACACTATGTTAACGTTCTTCCTCCTCAGTCCTACAATCAAAAAGTCCTC